ATATATATATTTAATTATAATTATTTTTATGTATTATTATTATTTTTAATAATAAATTTAATTATAATTATTTTAATTGTAATATATATGCATTAGTAATGATATATATATATATATATATATTGTAGTTATATGTATATGTATTTTATTAATTATAAATAATTTTATTTTTAATATATATATATATATATGTATATATATATATATGAATTTATATGTATATATTAATATAAATACATGTAGATGAATATTTGAATATTTAATATTATTTTTGAATGATGAGTCAGTTTTTTGCTGAGTCAGCAGTTTTTTTGCTTAGTCAGCAGTTTTTTGATGAGTCAGCAGTTGCGTTTGTTTGATTTAGAAAACATTTAAAAGTCTGGGTATTTATGTGGGAGTTTTGAAAAATTCAGATATTTATATGACAATTTTATAGTTCGGGTATTTATTTGAGATTTTTGTAAAAGTTCGGGTATTTTTATGTGATTATCCCATAAAAAAAAGAAATATAAAGAGCCCTCCTCAATACCCCAAATTTAAGTGTGTCACATTAGAAAAATAGTCAATTAGTATCGATTAAAATGCCTTGCTGGGTTTCCTTAATTCTCCCCAATTCCCCAAAATTCACGGTTTTTCTTCAAAAAGGAAAATTTGTTATGTGTAAATTTTAATTGGGTTATTAACTTAAGTAGGGTTTTGCACTCAAGAACATTTTCCTTTTCTATTTCCAGTTGCCAGCTAATTTCAAAAATTGAACTCGGTTTTCAAAATCTTGATGAAATCGCGTCTCCCAGTTTATAGAAAGTTTTTTTTATATATATTGGAAACTTCGGCTGCTACCTTTCGGACGCACTGATCGAGTAAACCCAAGCCCACACGCACAAGCCTGTAACACACGCGTGGGAGGTAAATCAGCCGTAACTAACAGGCGATAGGTGAGCGGACAAAGAGTCGAACCCCCAATCTCTCGATATGTTAAGCATGCTCCTTGCCAACTCACCTAGGGGTTTCCCCCCAGTTTATAGAAAGTTGCTTTTATTAGTTTAGTTAAGTTTCCTAACTAAACTGAGGAATCAGAATTCTACATAAACATAAATTAAAAAGACTTATAACTGTTCCACCTTAATCACTTGAGAGATTGCATCTTCATTCCTCGGCGAGTAAACATGTCCGAAGCAGAAACAAAGACTCTGGTGGGTCGAGGAAACTCATCATCATATCCTTGCGATCACTCCCTTGTTCTGCACGGAATCTGTTTCCTCTGTGGATCGGCCAATATGGAAGAAGAAAACTGTGGCTTGTCTCATGTTCTACACGCAATCTCTTTCCTCTGTGGATCGGCCACGGAAGAACGAAGAAGCGGCTTACTTTTCGATCCCTTTTGCGTCGTTTCAAAGATCAAAACCCTGTTTTGTTCTTGTGATCATCGGATGGCTCAACGCGGAATCTGCTGCCAATGCAAGCGGACCGTTGCCAGACCTAACGGCCTAACCTTCAATTACATCGCCAAGGGTTTGGAGCTGAGCCCTGAGTTTGTGGCGTCCGTAAAGAAACAGGTAACTCGAAGATGTATTGCGGAGAAGAAGCTTTACTTGGTTCTTGACTTGGACAACACGTTAATCCACACACGTAGAGTTTCGCAGCTCACAGAAGCGGAGAAGCATCTGGTTAAAGAAGCGGATTCAAGGGACGATCTAGGGTTGGCCGAGGAGGAGAATTCCTCCGGCGGGTTGACAAAGTTACGGCCTTTCGCCCGGGAATTCCTCCGAGAAGCTAACCAGTTGTTCAGGATGTCGGTCTACACAAACGGCAACTCGGCTTATGCTGCACGCGTGTTGAAATTGCTTGATCCGAATAAGATTTACTTCGGGAACCGAGTCATTGCAAGAAGTGGCGATTCCACTTCCATGTACAAGACTCTGGATCTTGTCTTGGCCGAAGAACGCAGCGTGGTCATCGTCGATGATAGGTCGGCGGTATGGAGTTTGCCCGACCAGAGAAACTTGATGCAGATCGAGAAATACGAATTCTTCGACGAGAAGGAGGAGAAGAAGAAAGCGTTGAAGATGTTTATGAAGAAATTGAAGATCTACACTCGAGAAAACTTCAACGGAATATTCGGAGCCGACGGTGGAGATTCGAAATCTGATCGTGCGGATCGAGAAGGAGAAGAAGGACGAGAGCGAGAAGGTGGAGCGTTGGCTAACACCCTGAGATCGCTCAAGAGAGTTCACGAAGAGTTCTTCCATGGCGGAGATTTCGCCGACGTTAGGGTTTTGTTACGTAAAATGACGCGCAATTAGGATTGATTACTTAACCTAATCATGTAATGATATAGTGACTCCATATTCCAACTCTTGTATCCTTGTATTCATTCTACTACAAGAACCATTTGTTTCTTTTATTAATTTGATTGAACATCATCTTTTGGATTTATATATATATATATATAATCGAATTTTATACTTATTTTTAATTTACAACATGTGGATTTTGAAGACCTTTAAAATTGTAATCTGCAGTTCAGAGAAAAAAAAATAGAAACAGAGTAGGTTACAATAATTATTCAAATATACGAATATAAAGATATACAAAACTTTAGTATCGTAGCCTCATACGATAAGAGATATAGATCACATTTTTTTTTTGGTTTTATTGGGTGCATCAACATAAAATCATATTACTTTTTACTAATTTTATATTAATTAATTTAAGTGATTAAGATGAATTTAGTTGACCGAATCTACAAAACTGATGTTAATTCGATGTAACTATATTCATCCAAAAAAAAGAAAGCTATTGACTTGCTACCATATTCCACTAGGATCATGGGTATTTTCGTAATTGGATAGATGAGGATAAAGTTGATAGTGTACGATACATTCGCAATCATAAAAGATTTATACAACATTAGAATTGATATATTAGAACGTTGAAAATAGATATCTATAATTCTTTATTTTCATGAATTTAAGTTAGATATTTACAGAGCTATCATTTGAATATTATAATTTTCTAAAAAATCTTCTTGAGAATGTTTTTGTTTTTGAACGAAGGAATTCAGTATCTTCTTTGTTATTTTATATATCAAATATTTCACACCAGGTTCTGGCATCCGTGAATATTTGAAATTAAGATTTGGGAGATCCAAACTGTAACTAATCAGATCCGGGTAATAAAAAGACCAACAAAAATCATTCAAATTACGCAAATAGACATCTCATCCAAGAAAAAAGGAAAGTATTACAGGGCGTTTTTGTAATTCCTGCGGCAGAGTATGGGTAGCCTCGTCCTTTCATCTCCGTTAATAAAATCTGATGACGGCAATATCGTAATAATATAAAACATTCGAGGGCAGATGAGTCTATCTAGTTATCATCCAAGAAAAAAGGAAAGTATTACAGGGCGTTTTTGTAATTCCTGCGGCAGAGTATGGGTAGCCTCGTCCTTTCATCTCCGTTAATAAAATCTGATGACGGCAATATCGTAATAATATAAAACATTCGAGGGCAGATGAGTCTATCTAGTTATTGAGCGCGCTCAACGGCACAGAAAAAAAAAAAAAAAAAAAAAAAAAAAAAAACACGGTCGCAGTGAATTTAGCTACCTGAGAGTTTCCATTTTTCTTTAGATCTGATTGGTTGGAAAATTTTTCCATTTTTCTTTTCTGCGACTCTATAAATACAGACAGCCTCAGGCTTCACATTTACGCATCTCGAGGGTTTAATTTCACTTCCTGAGAGAGCACTTGTTCTTCGTTCCCTGATCATATCCATCTCCTCTTCCACGATTTCGACCTAATTCCGCTCCTGGGCTCCGATCAAAGCTCGCGACTTCGATTCGATTCCAGAGGTTTCCTCGAAATTCTTTATCTGGGTTTTGCTTATCGCCCTTGGAAATTCCCTGTTCTGAGTTTACTTTGCGATTTCCTCAGAGTTTGCGGCTGAGTCCGAGAGGATTATCAGAGACATTAGGGTTTCGTCGCGTCTGAAGGGGGGGAAAAACCATGTCTTTAGTTCAAAGACAAGCTTCTACTTCGTGCGAGGAACCGGAGGCTAAGAGGAGGAGGACGGAGCCAGCGATTAACTCGGACTTGTCTGGCTGTCGTCATCGGTTTGTTCTTCACGGGATCTGCAGCGGATGCGGATCTAATGTCGAAAAACACGAAGGCCGATCTTTCGATTACTTGATACAAGGGTTACAGTTGAGCCACGAGACTGTCCTGTTCATCAAGGGGGTTAACTCTCGGCTATGTTGTCTGGAAGAGAAGAAACTCCACCTGGTTCTTGACTTGGACCACACGCTACTCCATACCCGCAGAGTTCCAAGGCTTTCCGAAGCAGAGAAGTATCTGATCGAAGAGGCGGAGACCAGGGATGATCTATGGAGAATCAGCGAGGACGAATACTGCGACTTTCTGATAAAGTTACGACCTTTTGTCCGGGAATTCCTGCAAGAAGCCAACAGATTGTTCTTGATGTACGTCTACACAAAGGGCACCCACGGATACGCCAAAATCGTGATGAACTTGCTTGATCCGGACAAGATCTACTTTGGGGATCGTGTCATCACCAGAAGAGACAGCCCAACTACGAAGACTCTCGATCTTGTCCTGGCCGACGAACGTGACGTGGTTATCGTGGACGACACGTTGAAAATATGGCCAGATCACCCGAGAAACGTACTGGAGATCAAGGGTTACCATTACTACAGAGAAAGCGGCAATGATTTGGATTCAAGATCTCACGCAGAAGAGAAGAGTGATGAGAGCGGGGAGGAAGGGCCACTGGCGAATGTTCTGAATTTCCTCAAGGGAGTCCATGAACAGTTCTTCAGAGACGGGTACGAAGAAAGGATCGATTCGAGAGACGTGAGGCCGCTGTTACATCCTTGATCTTCCAAGAATTACCGCAAGACTTGGTCGTGATTTAACATCTTTGTTAAGCATTTTTGTACTATTTTTACATTGTTTTTGCGAAAGATGATGAATAGTTGAACAATGAGTTGCTTTTCATTGTTCAGTTTCTAGTTAACTCCAAGAGAATCTCTGGTGTACCTGTTTTCGAGTTCACCATTCAAGTCTTTGATCAAAATCTGAGAAGAAGGGCATTGTAAGAAAAGCCAGGACAGTATATTAAGAAATGATACTAAAAGCTTGTCTGTTAGAACAGTAAGTACATTTCAGGACAACTACAAGAATGTAGAAATCTGGTTTAGCAACTTCTTGTCCACAACAGTCTAACACAAGATCTTCAAAACATACATTCTTTATGTATATGTATGTATGTATGTATATGCCAATATGGTGATTTGGCATGAAACTTTTGGAATTAGGTGGATATCATCATCAAGTCTTCACTCACAGCCCCTCACTCAGTCCTTTCCTTCCATCTTCTGAACCATCGTCATATATATTCACATCCAAAGCAAAGTATACTAACGCATGCTACTCTGTCACACTACTTGTAGACAAGAGATTATTTCTTGCTCTTGTGTTTATGTTTTCATGTTTTCCGACAGCTGAATACTGCAGAGACACCTTTTTGTCTACTCTCTCCCTCGTTTAACGTAAAAGAAGGCAAAGAAAACGAGAGCAAGAGCAAATGCAGCGAAGGCAGCTGCTGCCCCCCAAACCCACAATCTGTAAGCCTTTCTCCGCTTTAGAATGGCTTTCGGGAGTGCCTCGGTCCCTCTTCCTCTGTGTCTGTACCTGAAACTCCTCTGTTTCGGAAACACCGACCGTTTCTCCTTCACCAAAGCTAAAGACTCTGCCTTTTCCGGCTTAGATGCCTTAGTCACTGTCTCTGGGGCCTTACCTTGTTGCACGGGACCAGAACTTGTAGCTGCTACCTTCTTCTTTGCTTTCTTCTCGAGATCCTGCAACAGAAAGAACAAAAGCGATGATTAGGGTAAGCAAAGACGATATCTGTATAGTTACAATCTCGTATACGTACTATTATTACCTTGAGTTTCTTCTGTGCTTCCTTCTGCTCTCTTATAGCAGCTTTAGCAGCAGCTTTCTCTAGCATCTTTTTCTTCCTTTCCGTCGCTTGCCGGGCTTTCTCCAGCTGCTCTTCTCGTCTCTTCTCCTTCAATGTTTCTTCATCAATGTCATCTTCCACTTGCAGATTTTGATACCCAATATCCAGATCCATACAATCATTCTCCTCTGAGCCAGACTTGTTAGAATCTGTCACGATTTCCCCATCTTTCTCGGTCTTCTCAGCAGCTACATTGCCATCTTGGGAAGAGCAAGAGCTTGAATCTTCTCTTCCCCATTTGTCAACACCTCCGGTTGCAGTATCAGGAGGTTCTAGGGTTTCCAGGGAAACCGAGACATCCTCTTCCTGACTCTTAATCCGCCCATCTTGGCCCAAGCGTCGTTCATCAAGTGAAGCCGAGACTCTTTCCTCGTAATCATCCCGAAAAGCCTTGTCAGTGTTCCAGAGAGACATAAACTTCTCAACCTGCAAAAGAAAAGCCAAGAATAAGAACACAAACAAACTCTTTTGTTCGGGAAAATCTCAGAGACTTGATTGATCGTCCGGGTCGAGAAACAGAAAGCCAACCTCAGCATTGGCAAGCTCTTCTAAGCATTTCACATTTCCGGAGGCAGCCAATTCTCTGGCTCTCATCATGACAGACCAATTCTGGAAAAAAGCGGCATTCTACAGAACAAAAATCCGTATAAGATCGTATTTACGAACAGAGAAACATAAAGATTTTCATAGAAGAGACGGTAATGCAACCAACGCACCCTGAGGTCTCGTTGTCTTCTCAACCTCTTGATTGTTTCAAAGGCTTTGTCTCTCTTGTCAAGAACGCCAGCCAGCTCTGCATCCAATGACTCGATCTCCATCTTAATCCTTCTCAGCTTTTCACTCAACCGGTATATCTTTGCTGTAACTGCTAGCCGGTCCTTCTTCACTTCATCCATATTCATGGCCATCGACTGATAAGACGGGGAAAAAAATGAAGCAAACCCCATTAGAGGACATCTAACACACCGATCCCATCGACACGAAAAACCCATTATCCACAAACACCGATCCGAGAAAATGAGCCCCGATTTGACATAGACCATAATGCCCAACACTCAAGAAGCAATGACTACCAGGTTGGAGCCAGCAAGCAGCTTTTTACCTTAACGCGGTCTATGATGGATTCTTTTCGCCCAAACGAATCCTGAATCTGCGCTTTGATCGCAGAGTTAGCTATTATCTTCCCTCGTGTCGCCTCAAGCTGCTTGATCTCCTTGAGAAGTTGCTTCTCCTCTGTCAATGTGATGCTCTCATGTTCAATCCGGTAATTCATCCTGTAGATCTACATCAACCACACCAATCTCCAGTAATCAGAGGAATTGAAAGGGAATCTATTCATGGAACCGAAGAGATCGATTGTATCAAAACTCTTGAAAGGGGTTAGGTGATATCGATTCATACGAGATCGTCAAGTTCCTTCTCCGAAGAGCATAGTTGACCACCACCGCCATTGCCATGGAGCTTCCGGAGAGCTTCTTGCAAAGGTTGCAATTCCCTCTTTCTCTCATCAAAGATCGCGTCGTATCCGTCACGTTCTGATTTCAAGCACTCCATCTGAGAGAACAAAGCCGATCTCTCAGCCTACGCGAAAACAACCCACCAATCAGCTTAAACCCTAAAACGCAATCAATCACCTTTACCAACGCATTTTCATGTAATAGCAACATGCTAATCGACAAGAACGTACCCTTTTCGCTCTAAGAGACTCAGAGATTTGGATGCGAGTAACGTTGCACCGATAAATCTCCTTGTCAGCCTCGTCGATCTTGGCCGCGATCTCAGAGTCGTCACAAGGGTGTTGTTTGACGAAGTAGAACGAACGGAACGACTTCGGCGACGGCCATTCGTCGGCCGCGTCCGACGGAGGACTGTCGCCGGAGAACACAGCGTCGTCGTCTTCAGTGGTCACCGTCGATTCATCGCCGTTGGAATCGGATTGGTAGTTCTCGGACGGTAACAGCTCGTCGAGTTCCAGTGGCGGAGCCACTTCGAAGCCATCAGACAGTATATTCCGAGAAACCATTTTCGTACTGCACCCACAAACAACACCACGGATCACTGCACGAACTGTGACATTATCCGGCTCCAAACATCGGTCGAAATCGGCGACCAATAAACAAGTCGTGAAACGTAGGGAATTGAGAAGAATCAGGGGGGGAGAGAAAAAAAGCTTAATTGAAACACCAAAAGAACAGAGGAATCAGTGAGAGACAAGCCGACAACGACCGATTGCATACCTCAAGACTGCTAATCATGAGAATCAGATACCCAGTTCAAAGGAAAATCAGAACCAGAGACAAGATTGATCAGAATGGTCACAAATGGGAGGAAATCTGCAGGATTTACCAGAAAGAGAAACGAGGGACGGTAATGACTGGTCAATCAGATTCTTCCCACAAGTCCCTGGGTTTTGGCTTGAGAAGAATCTCAAATTTAAAGAAAAAAATCCAATCTTTAGCTCAGAGAGAGAGAGACTGGTTCAGAAAGATTTCTTTTTATTTTTGTCAATTTATTAAAACCTCCATCTTCGAGGCATTGAAAAGATTTCATCGCTCATCCCATTAGAGGAAAATTACACATCTTTTTTTCTTGTCCGTTTTGAAATGCCCATTGTGCGTTTTCCAAATTGCGAAAACCTTTGAAATCCCTCTTTAATTACGTTTCCCGTAATCCTATAGACATTTGGCACATTGTTTTTTTTTTCTTTTAATTTTTTATTTGTTTATGAATATTTTGCAGATGTGTCGAAAACACCCTTGTCTATATTGATATTTTCCCTTTTTGCCACTCGGACAGTCGGAAAGCAAAAAGGCAGGTCCTTTATCCAAACCGTCTCTAAGCCTACAAAGGTCAAAAGTCAACTCTTTTATTGTTTTTTTAGTTTGACTACCGAATTTCTAGTAAATTAATTAATCTGATTCTGTTCTAATTTTTTATTACCGGTAAATCAAATCATATTTGGATTCCCCTTGGATTTATAAAATAAAATTACAAGTAAATATGTAATTCTATTTGCTATTCTAACATGATTAGATCTTTAGTGTGCATGGAATTTCAATTTACTTTGGATAATGGTATCATCATTGCAATAACAAAATCATATATTTTTTTTTATAATATTAGCATATGTAATAATATTTAAATTTCATATATCTTTTATTTATATACATGAAATTTATTTTGGTTGTCTTGAAAAATAGATATTAATCATTAATTGCAAATATTTTTTAATACCAAAAAATATATTCAAGAGCAGCTTCATTAATCTTTCTTTCAATATTTCTTATAGTAAACTTTTAATAGTTTTTAGGATGCATTTTATACCATAAATCAGTTAATGATTGGGTTTTAAAAGCCACATATATATAGAAAAAAGAGTTGTTTTAAAGCAGAGATGTTAAATTGTTAATGGTTTTTTAACCCCAAAAAAAAATGTTAATGGTTTTCTCCTTAAACCGCTC